CCACATAAAAGGCTTGTAAAAATATTAGCTCTATAGGTGTGGGGGATAAGTTAGCAAACTAGATAGAAGAGTGGCTGAATGGAAAAAAAGCGGAGGGTTGTTACAAATGGAGTTCAGTCAAACTGGATTAATGTCAGAAATGGGGTACCTCAGGGCTCAGTCTTAAGACCTTTGCTCTTTTTGATTTACATCAATGGCATAGATGAAGGGATAGCCAATAAATTTCTTAAATTTGCAGATGATATTAAGGTCTTGGGTGTTTCTAGCTGTGAAGAGGATGCTGCTGATTTGCAAAAGGATTTAGATCATTCAGTGAGTTGGGCAAATAAGAGGCAGATGGGTTTTAGTTATAATAAATGCAAGATAATGCATGTGAGTTATCATAATTTGAATTATAAGTATAATTTGAATAGGAATAACCTTAATAGTATTATAAAAGAAGGGGGATCTTGGTGTAATAGTCGATCAGTCTCTAAAGCCATCCAAACAGTGTGCTGTTGCTAGTGGTAGGGCAAATAGGATTTTTGGTTGTATCTATAGAAATATTGAATACAAGTCTAAAGAGGTTATACGTTCATTGTACAGGTCACTGGTTAGGCCACATTTGGAATATTGTGTTCAGTCTCGGGCTTCTTACCTTAGAAAGGGCATTGAATTGTTGGAAAGGGTTCAGGGCAGGGTTACTAAAATGGTGCCTTGGATTGAGTAGTTGTCGTACAAGGAGAGGCTAAAATCTCTCAATTTGTTTTCTCTTGAAAAAAGAAGAGTTGGGGGGATCTGACTGAGATATTTAAGATTGTAAAGGGAATTGATAATGTTGATGTATCATCTTTTTTTTTTATATTTAACAACGAGAATATTAGGACTAGGGGACACAAATATAAATTTTGGTAAGGTAGGAGTCATCTTCAGCTAAGATAGATTTATTTTTCTAACAGGGTGGTTGGCCTTTGGAATGGGTTGCCTTCAGATGTTGTAGAGGCAGTAAATTTAAGTGAGTTTAAGAAAAAGCTTGATACGTATATGAATGAAAAGGGCTGGGTTTTTTAATTTTTATTTTTTTAATCATTTTAATTTAGTTTTGAGGATGGAACAGCTAAGATGGACAAATAGGTCCCACATTGTCCCAAAATATTATGTTATTATTTCTTCAGCAGCTCTGTGGTACAAGCTACAAAATTGTATAGCATTTTCAATGATAGAGTTGCAAATCAAATAATTACACACTGTGAGATGGTTGAGCATGAGAAGTGCAGTTGATGCTGTGTATTGTAGTCATCCTTCTGTTGTAGCAACACTTTCTGAACTATGTACAACAGCTAAATCAGTATACGTGCTTTAACAGCACTAAAACAGCTTTAATTACAAGCTTCATGTTAGATGTCTATAATGAAATCCGAATGTTAAGTTGTGGATTTCAGCAGGAAAATCTAGTGTTCAGTCAAGTTGGACCACTAGTTGAGTCTACTTTAGCTGGATTGGATGAGCTAAAGAAAGGTGGTGAAAGTTACAGGAAGATAATGTGCACTTTGGAACAGAATGATGGATTTATAAAAGATGTAAACATTTGTTTCAGGAGAGACTCCTTCAGAAGTAAAGCAGCTGATGACTAAATATATATACGGACTTCATCAGAACATCACTGATAGGCTTACACAGCAAGGTGTAAACATCATCCATAATCTGGAATCCATACATGAGCCTTCTATGTTTGATGAAGATTTAGCAGATGGAGCTATTATTGATCTTACAGATTTTTATGGAACCAATAAATTCACCAAAATTTTAAATGATGCTGGAAAAACTGAAACTGAAGTGATGGTCATCCTTAACATAAGTGATTTGGTACAAAATGAATGGACTAGGTTCAAAAGCATATTGAAAGGCACATGTAAAAACTCAAAAACTTGTGTAAAAGGGTTATTAAACTTTGTGGTAATCAGTTTTCTAACATGTTAAAATTGTTACAATAGCTTTATGCTTTTGTGTAACTAGCAGTGATTATGAAAGAGCCTTTTCTGTACAAAACAGGCTCTAGACAAAATTCAGATGTTCTTTGAAGGCTGAAAAGATACTTTAATAACTATTGTAATGTTAGGCCCAGAAATTTCATTCTATGATCCAAGTCCAGCAATTAAAATGTGAGATAGTGCTAAGAATAGAAGAAGGGCAAGACTTTCACAACTATACAATCAGAGAATTAAGAAAATTAGAATTGAATAAATGTGTAAATTGTGTTTGTATTTTTGTAGTTATACTTTCTTGAGACCAAATACTCTGAGATAATATTTACACATTTAAACTCTTATAAATAATTAATTTGCTACATAAACTGGCATATGGATGCTTCTCCATGATACTGAATTATTGACCATTTTTGGTAGATACTGATAGAGGCAAGGTTTGATCAGTACAGTACTGATTATGGCAAAAGTTCTCTGTTGCACTGAATATTGTTTTTGTGCTAATATTTTATATATTTTCCAACTAATAGTTCACAGTAATGTATTTCAGGAGCTTTACAAAAAAATTTTAATGACTACCGTGAGAGAGTATAATGAGTGTTTATTAAATTTTTTATAAGGTATTATTTTGAAAATTTGATACTCAACTTTTAATGAAATTAAAGATATACAGTCATTACTTGTGTATTTTCATTTGTTTTATATTCAATTACTCTTAAGTTTGTTTAGATATGGCTACTAGAATACTGGTTGGTTGTTTCAGAAATTTTAGCAGCATACACTGTAACCTGTATAAATATCTTGTAAGTTGTCAGAACTTGTAGTAATCTAATTATTTTCCATTAAAAATTAAGTTAATTCTTAAATTTTGTAAAATTTGCTTTTTTATTCTAAATTTGTAACTAATCTGAAGTCTAACCCTAATCCAGAAGTTGTGTTAAGCTACAGCTATTGTTAAGTTGATAGCTTTTTTGTGTTAATCTGCTACTAGAACTAGATATTTTTAACTTACCAATGTATATCATGATATCTGTATGATTCTTCCAATAGACGTGTGTTCAGTACTTTATATTCGTATTGTTTTCAACATGATGTGGATGTGTGTTCAGTATTTTATATTCATACCTTTTTTAACATGATGTGGATGTGTGTTCAGTATTTTATATTCATACCTTTTTTAACATGATGTGGATGTGTGTTCAGTATTTTATATTCATACCTTTTTCAACATGATGTGGATGTGTGTTCAGCATTTTATATTTATACCTTTTTTTAACATGATGTGGATGTGTGTTCAGTATTTTATATTCATACCTTTTTTAACATGATGTGGATGCATGTTCAGTATTT